ATTATACCATTGTGAGATATAATAGTACTACTAAGACAACCTATACTCTAATGGTATTACATATATGCATAGTAGTACAAAGAAAAGTACTATTGAGATCTTAAAAAATGCCTATATAGACGTCAAATTACTATATTAGTCTCCTATGACTTTTGGAAACACATAAGGCCTATGTGCTTAGATGCCCACCATATGCAAAGTGGTGTTGAGTGGTAATGGAAGGTTATGAAAAAATTCACATGTATGGGTATGAAGTTCCATTACCAAGGTACTGATGGTAGTGAACTTGGGTGTTTTACCCCAAATTTATTATCATTTCCATGATTTATGACCGCTAACCAAACGAAAGGCAAGCCAAAGACTTAGGACATTCGAAGTATCTCTTTGTAATTGAGGTGTCAAGGAATAAATCTGGTACACATACTCTTGAATCAATGGAAAAATATCCTTGATTTGTTGACAGATACTGATATGTTAAACTGTAGTGAAGCAATTTTTCCTCATCCTAAGAACTCGAATTTGAGTACAACAGATGGACCTCCTTTGGTTGAACCTGAAATTTACAGAAGGTTAATTGGGGAACTTGATACAAAGTACTTGAATATGGCTCGACCTGACATTTCTTATGTAGTAGTCCAGCAGCTAATTCCATCTTTGGTGCTCCTATATAATCACATCTTTAGCTGTTCTTCATGTTCTTAAGTATCGAAAAGGTACTATATATCAACCTTAATTCTTTTTATCTTACTTCTTCAGATTTTGTACTCGATCAAGGGATGTTGTGATGTAGATTGGGATTCATGCATGCCAATTTTCAGCAAAATTCTAAGAAACGAATAAATAAATTAATAGTAACATCTGTTGGAATATGACTCGAGAATCAATCGAGGCTTGGCATATAAGCTAAGGGGATGAATTACTTGTGTTAAACAAGGAAGCATTGGGTGGGTCAACTTCAACTGGGCATATCTCTCAAACTACTCGGAGTTTTGAGGTGATTCAAGTTGGAGGTGAAAGCTTGTTTCAAGAGCTTTCCAACGATAGTTCATAAGCTTAATTCCAATGAGAAAGGAGGAAGTTATAGCTATTATACTACAAGCTATCTACGCTGACCAGGACAGGGGCTGCACGTCCGTGCCAAATTTGGCACGTCCGTGCAGCTGATGTCTGATTTATCTAGGCTAGCACGTCCATGCCATATTTGGCACGTTTGTGCCTACCTGATACTCAGTCCAGATCTGTCGGGGGTATAAATACCCATTTGGGGTTATTTTGTTCATTATCCCCAGAAACACAATTAGAGCTAGGGTTCTTGTTCTTGAAACCCTTGTGCTTTATAGTGGAAATTAGTGAGAAATTACTCTTGTAAACACTAATTGAAATCAATACAACTATTCTCCTTTCTTTGGGTGGGTTTTATAGTCTTCAAGTAATTGCTTGAAGGATTTTCCCACCTTTCAATTTCTTGTCTCTTTTACTATCAAATTTCTTAATTGTTCTTTGCTAATTACTTCAATTATCAACCATTTGCTCTAACAAATTGGTATCAGAGCCAAGATTAGATCTTTGGGTATAATTAGGGCTTGTTCTTGGTTAATTGAAGATTGAAGGTATTTTGGTCATGGGAGGTTCAAAATTTGAAACTGAGAAATTTGATAGGTCAATCAACTTTGGATTATGAAAGTTGAAGATGAATGCCATTTTGGTTCAAAATGGCTTGGATGAGGCAATGCTTGGGATTAAGAAGAAGCCTTCGGCTATGTTGGAGGAGAAGTTCAACAAGTTGGACAAGAAAGCTCTCTCCTTGATTCAATTGAGCGTTTCTAATGAGGTGTTGAGGGAGGTAGCGAAGGAAATAACGGCGGCGGGGTTATGGTTGAAGCTTGAGTCGCTCTACATGAAAAAATCGGTGACCAATCGATTTTTGTTGAAGAGCAAACTACATGACCTCAAACTTGAAGAAGGTAAATCCTTGAAATCTCATCTTGATGAGTTTGATTCTATAGTTATGGACTTGCATAATATAGATGTTACTTTAGATGATGAGGATTTAGCTATACGTTTGTTGTGTTCATTGCCTCCTGATTATAAGCATTTTAGAGAGACGGTAGTGTATGGTAGAGATGAATTGTCACTTGAGGATGTTAGGAATGTGTTGTTGCAAAGGGAGTTAATTGAAAATCAATCAACTAGAAATGATGACCTTGGTCATGGTGTTGAAGGTCTTGTTGTGATGAGAGGTAGACCAAAGGAGAGGAACAATTCCGGTGCTAAATCCGGTACTTCTAAGTCTAGATCAAAATCTAAGCTTAAGAATGTTGTTTGTCGTGCTTGCCATAAGAAAGGCCACATTCGAAAGTTTTGCCTGAAGAAGGGGAAAAAGGATAAAGGATAAAGTGTTGCTAGTATATCTTACCATGATGATTCGGCGGCGGTGGCTCACAGTGATAGTGATGATTCAATTCTTCTTGCGGTTGAATCGAATTCAAGGTTCAATGACAAATGGATACTTGATTCGGGGTGTTCTTATCATATCACTCCCAATCGACATTGGTTCTCTACTTATGATAGTGTTCAAGGTGGAGTGGTACTAATGGGCAATAGTGCGGCTTGCAAGGTTGCGGGGATTTGGGCGGTTAGGATCAAGACGTTTGATGGAATGGTCCGCACTCTATCAAATGTGCGTCATGTTCCGGATATGACTAAGAACTTGATCTCATTGGGCACTTTGGATAGCAATGGTTGCCGGTGCACTCTTGAAAATGGTGAACTTAAGGTTGCTTTGGGGGCTCAAGTTGTGATGAAAGGCAAGAAGATTGGCTCACTCTATGAGTTAATCGGGTCGGCGGTTGAGGGTTCGGCATCGGCAGTGTCTTCGTCAATTTCTGAGTCCGATAATACGAAGTTGTGGCATATGAGGCTTGGGCACATGAGTGAAAGAGGTTTGTCGGAATTGTCCAAGAGGGGTCTATTGGGTAATCAAGCTACGGGTTCTATGGAATTTTCTGAGCATTGTGCGTTCGGGAAACAAAGAAGGGTTAGCTTCAAGGCGGCCACACATAGAACCAAGGGTACACTTGATTATATTCACTTGGATTTGTGGGGTCCTTATAGAAAGCCATCCTTAGGTGATCACCGCTATTTGCTCACCTTTATTGATGATTATTCACGGAAGGGGTGGGTTTTCTTCTTGAAAAGCAAAGATCAAGTCTTTGAGGAGTTCCAAGATTGGGAAACCTTGATTGAGAAGAAAACCGAAAGGCAAATAAAGAGATTGCGAACGGATAATGGGCTTGAGTTCGTGGAGAAAGAATTCACCAAGACATTGCTCGTCATCGCACTTGTACCGGTAGACCGCAACAAAATGGAATGGCAGAAAGGATGAATAGGACTTTGCTTGAAAAGGCTCGGTGTATGTTGTTCCAAGCGGGGCTAAGCAAGGGATTTTGGGCCGAAGCGATGAAAATGGCGGCTCATGTGGCAAACCGGTCACCACACACCGCTCTTGGGTTGAAGACGGCGGAGGAGATGTGGTCGAGTACGCCGAGATATCATTCCGGATTGAGAGTCTTCGGTTGTCCGGCTTATGCCTATGTGAATGACGGGAAGTTGAAGCCTAGAGCAAAGAAGTGTATCTTCTTAGGATACACGGATGGGGTCAAGGGTTATAGACTTTGGGACCCTAGCACATCAAGAATCATACTAGCCGAGATGTTACCTTTAATGAGTCCGTATTTCTTCAAAAGGGTGATACTTTTTCTTTTGAGTTTGCCGAGAAGGAGGTGGAGAATGTTGACGGTGTTGATACATACTCATGAGAAGGTTGATGAAGTTCTTAATGATGATGGTGGTGTAGAAACACCACAAAAAGGTGGAGATGTTCCTTCCACTTCCTCCCCTAAGAAGTCCACCACCCCTAGGAAGGAACAATCTTCCCACCAAGTGCAAAAATTAAGTCTTGCACATGGACGAGCTATGAGGCATATAAAGCCTCCGGTTCGATTCGATTTTGAGGAGATGGCGGCCTATGCATTGAATGTTTCTAGTGATGTAGTCGATGTTGAGCCATCTTCATATACCGAAGCAATGGAGTGTGTTGATTGACTCCAAAAGATGGCAATTGGCCATGGAAGAAGAGATGGAATCTCTTCACAAGAATCATACATGGAAGCTTGTAGAGAAACCACGGGCAAGAAAATTGTTGATTGCAAATGGGTCTATAAGTACAAAGAGGGAATTCCAAGGATTGAGGAGCCAAGGTGCAAAGCAAGAGTTGTAGCACATGGTTTTAGCCAAGTTCCGGGAATCGACTACAATGAAATTTTCTCACCGGTGGTAAGGCACACTTCTATTCGTTCATTACTTGCTCTTGTTGCCATGCATGATTTGGAGTTGGAGCAGTTAGATGTGAAAACCGCATTCTTGCATGGAGAGCTTGAGGAGGAAATATACATGCGGCAACCGGATGGTTTTGTTGTTGAGGGTAAGGAGGATCATGTATGCTTATTAAAGAAGTCCTTGTATGGTTTGAAACAATCACCTCGGCAATGGTACAGACGATTTGACCAATGTATGTTGGGGCATGGTTTCTCCCGAAGTGACTATGATAGTTGTGTATACTTGAAGAAGGTGAGTGATGGCTCTTTGTTGTATCTTTTGCTATATGTTGATGACATACTTGTAGCGGCAAAAGACATGTTTGAGGTCAAGAAGGTGAAATAAATGTTAAAGGGGGAATTTGAAATAAAGGATTTGGGCCCGGCAAGGAAAATTCTTGGCGTGGAGATTATAAGAAATCGTGAGAGATGGAGTTTGTACTTATCCCAAGAAAAGTACATTGAAAAGGTCTTGGAGAGATGCTACACTAGTAGAAAAATGCTCATTTGCGTCACTCGTAGAAACCAATGACACAAATGATATATTTTGGCTTCATTATAAGTAATATGTGTCGGACATTAGCTATAAAGTGAAGCAAAAATCTGATATATTTCAGCTTATTCATATTTGCGTCGCTTTTATTAATAGGAACAACACATATGATATTGTCATTTGCGTCACTTATTTATTGACAAGCTACACAAATAACTTTGTGAGTAAATTGCGTCACTTCTTTCTTTATGGAGTGACGCAAATGACTATCACTATTAGTAGTCTTAGTATGCAATTCAACCCACTCAGCGCTGCCTTCGATCCCATTCATTATACAAAAAAAAACTCTCGCTGCCGTTCGAACTTCAAAACCCCATCAAATTCAACAGCAAAACCCCAGCAAATCTGAGCCAAAAGCCCCCTTTTTCGAGCAAATTCGACCCAAAACCCCCCATATCCGAGCCAAAATCCCCTATTTTCGAGCAAAAAATCGACCCAAAACCCTCCACGAAATTCGAACTATGAGAACCGCAGAAAATCGAGCAAAATACCCTAAATTCGAGCAAATAATGACTAAAAATTCAAATCAAAAGCTAAAAAATTTCGCCCCCAAAAACCCTAGAAATTTCGACCAAAAATCCGAACAAATTTGAGCAATAAGCATTGAAATTCGACCTCCTATAGCAGCTAGGGTTTAAACTCGGTTCTCTCGCATTTAGGCTCTACATTTAATTTGGTGAATTTGTGAAGTCGATTTCACCCAAGGTAAGATTGCTTCTTGTTTTTTCTTCACTATTTTCATAGAATTTAGAGATTGTTACTTGTTGATGTTGCTGTTGGTGGCGAGCAGGGGCAGCAATGGCTGATTTATGCGGTGGCAGCACTGGTGAGGTAGTAAAGATTTGGGTGGAGTGGAGTAGCTCGTAAAGTTGCTGGAGTTCTCGCTCGCCTGCTTTGTTGAGTTCGAGGGGTTTTTGAATTTCTCATTTTATGTAAACCTTGATTTCACAAAATCTACCACAAGTTATTATCTTTACTTTCTTTTACTTTGATTATCAAAGTTCGTCGCTTTTCCCTACATTTTTCTTGTTGACACTTTTTAACAGTATTATTAGATCACCCATCTTTCAATTTTTTCAGATTTCATCTACAATTAATTATATTGTTTCGATTATATACTGATCTTTGTGATTTATATGTTCTACCCTTTAAATTTTAGTGTTAATTTTGCTAAAATTTTTAGCTTTGACTTGAGTTATGGTTCTTATCTGATTTGTAAATTTTGATTGATTTTGGGATTTTTGTTTTTAACCCTTGGTTTTTGTTTGATTGTGTGGTAGAAATTGGGGATTGTTAATGAAATCTCTAGTGTTAAATCGTACTCGTAGTATACATTATCCCCGTGAGATGCACGATTTTAATAAAAAAAGTTATAGTATAGAACTCGTATATACAATGAATATTTTCAAATTTTGTCATAAATTCATTGGAAGGAGATTTTTTAAAAGAAATACAGTTTGAATATTTTAGGAAATTTCTAAACGTTTGAATATTAGTGTTAAGGAATTGAGGAGAGGGAATGAGAGATCTTTAAATCAAAAGAAAGGAATACATTTGTCATTTCAATTTACTATACTTTGGTTTCCTAGATTAAAGTTGTTGAAAGAATTTAATTAGCTTGTTTACGAAGTATCACACAAAAGAAAAAAAAATCCTTTCAGAGAAAGAAAAAGAAAAAAAAAAAAAAAAAACTATCACAAAAAGATGGCATCATCAATGGTTTTAGGTGGGAAAAAATTTCATAAAAATGCGACACGTATACAGTTTTGAAGAGAGATAATGTCAGCAATGTTTTGTTTTAGTAATAGTTAACAGATCTGTGACTTATATTGGGTTTAAGATCGTAGTGATGAATTTTAATTTTAGTTGTTTTTACTTCTGATTCCCTTTTTTATTTTATTTTATTTTTTTAACTTTTACGCTTCTAGGTATGATAATTTATGGAATTGTTATCATGATTTTATGGGTTTTCAATTTACTTCTTTATATTGATCCTGAACCACTCAAGTTGATTGTGCTGCTATCTTATGTTTTGCTTTATTAAATTATATAATTGATCTGATATTATCTTTAAGCTTCATCATGCTGCTTGAAAGATGGATAATTTGCTAGTTAAGGTCATTAGCTTGATTTGTTTTTTTTTCCGTGCTGATTTTCGATGAAGTATAGCTTAGTTTGAATATTGATTAATTATGGATCGGGGTTTCTTTAAAGCAAATGGTTTACTCTGATGTGCAACTTTTTCACTGAGGTGCTAACATCAGACATTTACATTGGTGTTAGCATCAGACATTTACATTTTATGTAAACTTTGATTTCACAAAATCTATCACTATTTATCTGTACTTTCTTTGGTGTAAGTGCAGCAGGTGGCTGGTGGTTTTTGGTGAGTGCGGTGGTGTGGCTGGGTGCAACGGCATTTTGTTACGGAGAGCTCTTTTGTTGTTAAGTTGTTTGTGAATTGCAGGGGAGAATGTAAAGGTTTCTCTCTCACATATTCAGATTAACTCTAATCTTTTTGTTATTCATTGAATTTTCAGGTTAATTGTTCTATAGTTTGAGGTACCAGTTGATTTCTTACTCGATTTCTCTCATATTAAAGGTAATTTAACATCACAATTGAAGCAACATAATATAGCTCTTCATCACCTAATATCAATTTCACAATCTAGAGTTTCATTATACGCTCTTGCTAATATAACAATTGGGATGACGTGAGATGTGGCTACTATGTCCTGCGCTTTATGTTTGAAATAGTTCAACATCAACATCATCGTAGTAGTGAGGATCTTATTATAGTATGGGCTGTTTTCATTACTGATTCATCAATTTATTTTAAATTGGCTACACGTACTCTTGAATTGATTATTTTTTGGTTTTTGTGTTGTGTTAACAGGAATTTTCAAGAACAATACCTTATACCGGGAGGAGATAAATGAGGTTTGAGATATTTGGTCAAACTATTGTTTGAGCAATGTTGAAATTTAGATTTAAACTAACTCCATTTATTTTTTAGACTTTTTTGCCTTAGTTCTTAGGCTTGAAATGAATGTATTTTGGGTTACCAACATTTTGGGTTGGTCTATGTTCTTGTGTTGGTTGATGATACCAATAATGTTGAGTTGTAAACTTCTTGGCAGGTTGTTAAATAATACATTGTCATCATTTCCAAATTTATGGGTTGGCCAAAATACAAAGGAAACTCTGCAGAAAAATATACTTATGTAATTACTTTATTAAGATTTAATTTTGTCCTACATTATAACATTACAGTATAAGAGATACAATTGATGAAAAAAAAATAGTGTTTCTTTAATGTATAAATTTGAAAAAAAAAACATCATTTGCATCACTCATTGAATGAAGGATTAATACCGTTTTTTAATCCCAACTTTCACCAATTTATTTTCATTAATCCCAACTTTGGATTATTCCTCAATAATCCCAACTTTAAGGTGTCTTATCATTCTTCATATCCAACCGATAACTAAACCTGTTATATCAGGTCACTTGACACGTGTCAAGTCCTGATTGGTCAAAAAATTAAAAAAAAATAACAAAAAGAAAAAAATAAAAAAAAAAACAAAAAAATCAAAATTAAAAAAAAAACCACCCAGCCAAAACCCCAACCACCCAAGAAATTCCGACAGGCCGCCCAGCCACCTCCCTCGTCGGATTGCCGGACCTCCCCCTCCACTAGAGTTGCCGCTCCGGCCGCTACCATCTAAACCACCATCCCCCCTCCTTGAAACCCCCACGCAACCACCAATAAAAACCCGATGCAAATAACTCATTTTCTCTTCCTCAAACCAATCATCTGCGTCACTAATTTATAATACAAGTGACGCAAATGACTGAACAAATGTTATGAAATAGAGTTATATGCGTCACTCATTTAACAAATAAGTGACGTAAATGACTGAACAATTATTATGAAATAGAGTTATTTGCGTCATTCATTTAACAAACGAGTGACCCAAATAACTGTTATTTGCGTCACGCATATGTAAACAAGCGACACAAATAAGTGTTATTTGCGTCGCTCATAGAAGTGACACAATGAGCGACGCAAATGACTTTGCGTCATTTGCTTCGTGAGCTGTTGTGTTGCACATAGAAACGACGCAAATACACCCTAAATGAGCGACGCAAATGAATGTTTTTGTACTAGTAAAGCCCGTTTCCGTTCCTTTCGCATCTCATTTCAAATTGTCATCCTTGGATTCTCCAAATTTCAAGGAGGATAAGGAGTTCATGTCATCCATTCCTTATGCCATTGCGGTTGGGAGCATTATGTATGCAATGGTTTGTACTCGACCGAACATTGCTCAAACCGTAAGCGTGGTGAGTAGGTACATGGAAAATCCGGAAAGGCACATTGGCAAGCCGTCAAGTGGATCCTTAGGTATTTGCGGGGTACTTCTAGCACTTGTATTGAGTATGGGCGGAATGGAGATGACTTGATTGGTTATGTGGATTCCGATTATGGTGGTGACCTTGATGATCGGAAGTCCACTTTGGGGTATATGTTTTGCCTCAGTGGTTCGGCTATCAGTTGGAGGTCGGCATTGCAAGAAGTGACCGCCTTTTCAACAACGGAAGCCGAATACATGGCTTTGACGGAGGGATTCAAAGAAGCCCAATGGCTTGGTGGATTTGTTGGAGAGTTGAGGTCGGAGAGATGTGTTTCTATAATGTATAGTGATAGCCAAAGCGCCATTCACTTAGCTAGAAATCAAAATTCTTTCCATAGGAGGACAAAACACATCGATGTGAAGTATCACTATATTCGAGATACTATTGCTAGTGGCAAGGTAGCATTAGGGAAGGTGCATACTTCGGATAATCCGGCGGACATGTTAACTAAGCCTTTATTGGTTGCAAAGTTTGATTGCTCAAACTTGGTTGGCTGTTATTAGCTATGTGTAGGGAATTTTTCAAACTCATCTTTGAGCCCTACTGTGGTTCATGCTTTTAGGCATGACCTTGTTCCAAGGAAAAGAAGCTAGAGGTAAAAGAGTCACCAACAAGTTTTAGGAACTTGTAAACCGTTCACGGGTGTGAAGGTTATACCCCATTCACGATCACGGAGATCGCTAACTCCATAGTGGTCCGTAACCATGACTGGATGTTCGGGGATGATGGTACGAATCCAACCTAAAAGAGATTGAACCCGCCCTAAATAGGCCTCTATTTAATTCTTATGATATTCATGTGCGCTTTTCGATCAACATACATACATCAAGTTAATCCTAAACCTGTTTAATCTACGTTGGTTGACTATTAATGCACAATCATATCTAATATTGGTGATCACTTAAATTAAAATCATATTGAACCTAAAATCAAATTATTAATTATCTTATTAGGTGTGATTTCAAGTACAAATTCCCTTTAAACCTCCAAAAAGGGGCGTGGTCAAGCAATAACAATAAATCATGAATAATCAAGCAACATATGATTAATACAACAATCATCATCATAAAAACATCATCAAAATATCATTAATAGTAAGATCCTAGGCATGATATTAAACAAATTAATAACCAATCCTAGCATGTCACTAATAACAATCATAATGAAAGCATTATCTTAAACATGATTCTAGAAATAATTAAAACATCCCAAGCATGATACTAGGAATCATAATCAACATCCTAATCATGATACTAGAAATCATAATAACATGATTTCTACTCCAAAATCAAAGAATAAAGTAATTACGTAATCGAATTACTCACTTTGATGCCTCAATCTTCTTGCTATTAAAACAATACACACGTTAGTAAACTTCAAGAAAGTTAAATCAAGAAAGTAAATAAATCAATTATGAATTGAAATATATATATTTGGGACCAAACCCTCAGAACTATCAACCTTTCACGTCGAGGTCGAAGGCAACATCGAGGATGGCTAGGAGTATTCAAGTCTTGTGATGGAGGTATGGTGTTTGATTTGGATGAGTATCAAGGATATGTTTAGGGTGTGCTTAGGCTAAGGCTAAAAACATGGGATCAAGAGAGAGAAGAGATGGGATGATTAAGATTAGGGGTGATGATGATGATTGTTGATGATTGAAAATGGGGTGAAACGACCTCTATTTATAGGGAAAAAAGAGAGTCCAAGAGATCAGAAAAGATCAGAATTCGAAACGGAATAAAACAGGTCTCATCCCAGGGCGATAAGAGTATCGCGCCGCGACAGGGTCCATCGCGGCACGATAGTTCTGTCGTTCCACGATGGTTTTCTAAAGATAAGAATCCGTACAAAGTTTGATTTCTAATCTGATTGCGTTAATCAAATATCCGTACGTATTCTATTTTGGCCGGGATTAGGATTATCAAAAAAGAGATGTTTTATTCAATATCAAATTCTTTAATCTTATCTTTTGGGGAAAGGATAAATTAGAACCTTCTAGAGGATTTTAGAAGCTCCTAATGAATCCTAATGGATTTAGGATTGGGAATATGGTATTTGGACTCTCACATAATCATTGGGTCATAGCTAAGATGGACCTAAATTCGGTTTGGGCTCGGTTTAGTATTATGGCCATAATTTATTCGTTTTAAGTCGGATTCGAACTTATAATAAATCGTTGGAAAGCTCTTTTCAACCCCATCCAACTAAACAATAATTGGAATAGGATTATGGACCAAAATAATCTGGTTTGGACGTTTTTATAAATTGGACATGAAATGAATGATTTTGAGGACACGAAATAAATGATTTTGGATTAAAACATTTTAGGTAAGGTAGAAATATGGTCAAGGCTTAAGGAAACTTCACGAGACTTTTCAACACTTTACCGAACTCGTTAATCAAAGACGTGAAAGGTACTCATCATTGGGTTTTTTTTAGGGAAGACACAATTAGGTGTCTACACTATGTTGTTTTTTACACCCTTGTAAGGGTGGTTACACCTCTTGTAGGTGGTTTCATCTTTGTTGAAGATGTTGGTTACATCCGTTGTTTTTCGGATGGTTGTTGTGGTTACTTGACATGATTGATTATCTTGTCAAGGTGGAGAATTGTTAGAATATGACTCAAGAATCAATCGAGGTTTGGCATATAAGCTAAGGGGATGAATTACTTGTGTTAAACAAGGAAGCATTGGATGGGTCAATTTCAACTGAGCATATCTCTCAAACTACTTGGATTTTTGAGGTGATTCAAGTTGAAGGTGAAAGCTTGTTTCAAGTTCTTTCCAACGATAGGTTAAAAGCTTAATTCCTATGAAAAACGAGGAAGTTATAGCTGTTTTACTACGAGCTTTGACCCGAACAGGGGTTGCATGCCCGTGCCACATTTGGCACGTCCGTGCAGCTGCAGTTCCAGACGACCAGTGGCTTCTGGTTTGATTATCTGGGCTAACACGTCCATGCCATATTTGGCACATCCGTGCCTACCTGATACTCTGTCCAGATCTATCGGGGGTATAAATACCCATTTGGGGTTATTTTGTTCATTATTTCCAAATTGAGAGAAATACAATTAGAGCTAGGGTTCTTGAAACCCTTGTGCTTTAGAGTGGAAATTAGTGAGAGATTACTCTTGTAAACTTTAATTGAAATCAATACAACTATTCTCCTTGCTTTGGGTGGGTTTTATATAGTCTTCAAGTAATTGCTTGAAGGATTTTCCCACCTTCTAATTTCTTGTCTCTTTTACTATCAAATTTCTTAATTGTTCTTTGTTAATTACTTCAATTGTCGACCATTTTCTCTAACAACATCCAAAAGAATTGTGAGGCAGAGTGCAAGAGTATGAGCTACACCACCAGTGAGCTGATTTGGATTGAAGGCTTACTGCAGACACGGAAATTTTATGAGTGTTTTACATTTAAATTAAATAAATTCATTTGGGTTAAAATCATATTAATAATCCATTCTAATTATTTTTGTCCCGCCCAAATAAATAATACAATTAATCAAATACAATTCGGGTTATAAAATAAATCAAATGGACCAGGTTAAAAGACTTCTAAGTCATTAAATGGGCGAAGCCTAAACCTACCAAGTCCACTCAAGGGGTTCTCATCTCCTATAAATACACCATTCCTCCATCAGTTGAGGGGATCCAGAAATCATTATTCCAAGAGCTCATAAAATCAAACAGAATTCACTATGAAGTAAGTCAACAAGCACATCAAATTCGTGCCGACTTTTTCAGATAC